CATACCTCATCAACAAGGGTACCTGCATGATCAATGTTTGTATACCTAACCCTGAATTGTACCCCACATCTTTATAATAAATAAATAAACGTAAAATAAAATAAAACATAAATACTTTTAAAAGATAAAAAGTAAAATGCTTTTGTATAGTGTGAGACTAAGTTCGGGTTTACTATTTTTCTTTATATGTAACCTTTAGGGCCACATCATTTATTGAGAAAACAGTCTATTCCACCTTAAACCACATTTCAGCTCTTGTTAAATATAATGAGACTTTGTATACATGAATGTTAGGCTCTGTTTTTTGCTCAGTGTCTCTCTATGTCTAGTCTCATGATAATGTGACACTTTATGTAAACTAATTGTACCTCTTAAATTTGGTCACTAAACTGTTCTTTCTCTTTAAGATTTTCTTATTATAAGTCATTTTATATCTATGTAAAATTTAAAATCAGTTTGCTCATTTCCTTCGGAAAAAAAATCTTGTAGTTGTGTTATAACTGCATTAAATCTATAGAGTAGTCTGTTTGTTAGAAGCATAATGTAGGCCACTACTTTGTTAAACTCTTGTGTAACCACATGGCTGTTTCCTATCTGTTGCCCACTCCCCTACTTGTGAAGTTGAATCTTCTCTCTCTCTCTCTCTCTCTCTCTCTCTCTCTCTCTCTTTCTTTGTCTCTAATTTTCTTTATAAATGAACTATATTTTCCAATCTAAAAATTAAAACTAAAGAAATGTAATGCAAATCACATGTATCATTTTAAATGCATTAGTATTTAAAATAAAAAGTTAAAAAGAGACAGGGAAAAGTAAAATAAATAAATAAATAAAGATGTGGGGTACAATTCAGGTTTCGGTATACAAATGTTCATTATGCGGGTACCCTTGTTGATGAGGTGTGCTCCCTCCTCCCCTGCAGTTTCCCATTACTGCCAATCCCTTTCTTATAATATTACAATAATTGTTCAAGATCTGCTTATGTGTGAGAACATGTGGTACTCAGTTCTTTGTTTCGTGATAGATCACCCGGTATTATAGCCTCTAAGTCCATCCAAATCGCTGTGAAGTTCATAATTTTGTCCTTCTTTATGGCTGCATAATATTCCATCGTGTATATGTACCACATTTTTTATCCAGTCCTTTTTCAATGGACATCACAGTTCGCTCCATGTTTTGCTCTTGTTGCAATAAACATGTGTGCAGGGTATATCACATTTTATCAATTCATCAACTGATGGACACTTAAGTTGATACCAAATCTTGGCTGTTGTAAGTGCTGCAATAAACACAAGGGTGTAGAGATCTCTTCCACAAAGTGATTTCCTTTCTTTTGGATATATACTCCATAGTGGGATTGCTGGATCTTATAGTATTTTTTTTAAGTTTTTAAGGAATCTCCATGTTTTTCATAATGGCAATACTATTTTACATTCTTACAACAGTGTATAAGAGTTCCTTGTTCTCTACATTCTGACCAGCATTTATTATTTTTTGTCTTTTTGATAACAGCCATTTTAATTGGGTGAGATAACATATCATTGTAGTTTTAATTTGCATTTCCCTGTTGATGAGTGATGCTGAGCATTTTTTCATGTATGTCTTAGCCATTTGTACATCTTCTTTTGAGAAATGTCTATTCATGTTTTTGCCCATTTTGTAATCACATTATTAATCTTTTTGATATTGAATAGAGTTCCTCATATATTCTGGTTATTAATCCCTTGTCAGATGAATAGTATGCAAATATTTTTTCTCATTCTGTAGGTTGTCTTTTCACCATGTTGATTGTTTCCTTTGTTGTGCAGAAAACTTTGGCTTTATATAATCCCATTTATTCATTGTTGCTTTTGTTACCCATACTTTTGAAGTCTTATCCAAAAACTCTTTGTCCAGACTAATGCCCTGAAGTAAGTCCCCAGTGTTTTCTTCTAACAGTTTCATACTTTCAGGTCTTACCTTTAGGTCTGTAATCAATTTTCAATTGACTTTTTAATGTGGTGAGAGACACAGGGCCTAGTTTTATTCCCCTGCATATGGATATCCAGTTTTCCCAGCACCATTTATTGAAGAGACTGTCCTTTCCCTGATGTATGTTCTTGGTGGTTTTTTCAAAAATCAGTTGGCTCTAAATGCATGAATTTATTTCTGGGTTCTCTATTCTGTTCCACTGGTCTGTATCTGTTTATATGTCAGTGCTATACTGTCTTTACTACATTTTCGAAGCAAGGTACCATGATGCTTTCAGCATTTCAGCATTGTTCTTTCTGCTCAGAACTACTTTGGCTTCAGGGTCTTTTGTGCTTCCTTACACATTTTAGAATTTTTTTTATTTCTGTGAAGAATATCATTGATATTTTGATAAAGATTGCATTTAATCTGCAGATAACTTTGGGCAATATGGACATTTTGACAACATTAATTCTTCCAATCCATGACCATGGGATATCTATACATGTATGTACCAACTTGTCCTCAACAGACTTCTGCTTCACTTCTACCACCATCCCAAAGATGCTGTTGAATATCCAGACACAAAGCAAAACTATCACCTATAAAGGCTGCATCACCCAGATATAATTTTTCTTGCTTTTCTGGAGAGTTGGATAACTTCCTCCTGACAATGACTGGTTTGTGGACATCTGTCACCCCTGGCACTACACAGT